AATATTAGCTCAAGAAAATCAATAACACTGAACAAGTTACTATTCTTTTAGTTGTAATTATTTTGAAGTCCAGCCTACTAAAATCAAGGAAAACGGATCTTTAAGCGTTGAATTTGTGGCGACTTTCATCAATTTCAAGTTAGATGACGTCACCAAGCACTAAAGAGCTGCTTTGTACTAATCTAGGACTAAGTGTTAAGGAGTGAGCATGCATGGAGGCAGGTGGAACCCACTGCCTTCATATACTGAGGTAAGCATGCTATGTATACCTCAGCAGATGCAGAGGAATCTAATGAGCAATGAATTTCGACTTCTTTAAAGCCAACATATAGCACCACTGTCATTCAGTGTTATCTGTATGTATTAATGCCTCAGGCCAACTTGGTAGACCTCATCAACCGCAACCTTGAATTCGGACTCCATAGGACACAGGAGATCACTTTTCATATTATTGAATTTCTTGGAATTGGGATGATTTCTAAGTAGGATTTTAGTTACACATGGCAGTAGACTGGATAATGCGACAAACAGCGGGCAATGAGGAAACAGGCATAAAATGGACTCACACAAAAAATCTTGGAGGATCTGGACTTCGCCGATGATATATGTCTGATTTCCCATAAACTGGAAGACATGCAAGCGAAAAGCAACAAGTTGGCAGAAGAAGCATCCAGAGAAGATAGGAATTCACGTGAATATAGAGAAAATAGAGGTGATGAAGATTCCTGGGCAACACCACCAACAGCAACAACAACAACAACAGACAACAATTAGCATAAATGGAAGGAACCTGAAAGAAACAACCCCCTTCACCTACCGACATGGGAAGCATCGTTTCAACTACAGGCGGATGGAACTGACGAGGATATCAAAGCAAGAATCGGAAAAGCAAGACAAGCTTTCACTACTCTCAAGTCTGTGTGGAGGTCCACAGCACTCAGCACCAAAAATAAGATCCGGATTTTCAACTCCAATGTGAAGTCAGTGCTACTTACTATATGGATCAGAGACTTGGCCAGCGCGTCATAAAGAGCATCTCAAACAAACTACACACCTTCATTAACAGTTTTCTTCGCTCAGTACTCAAGATCAGATGGCAGGCCAGGAAAGATCAGCAACAGAGATCTTTGGGAGCGAACCAACCAGGAACCGATTGTGAAACAAATAGGGGAGAAGAAATGGAGATGGATTGGCTGGCCATACTCTGAGGAAACCATCAAGTGACATCACTAGACAAGCCAGTGCTCGAGTGGAACCCGAAAGGAAAGCGGCGAGTTGGTCGTCAATAGCAGGGTGACTTGGAGGAGGTCATGTGAAGAGGAGATGAAAACGTGTGGGCATACATGGAGCCAGGTGAAGACTCTAGCAGAGAACCGAACTCAATCGAGACGTACAGCTGAAGCCCTATGTTCCTGTAGGAATTAAAGGATACAATAATAATAATACGGCATTATCTGCTAAATTTATCCTCCTTAGGGAAACCTTAACATTTCTATAGTAACAGACTTTCCAAAGTTTTAGATATTACCCTTAGCTAGTAGGTATTGATAAGCCTGTAGCACACACATACTGAGAACTAACTGACAAATATTTATCGGTATCTGACAAATGAAATCTCACTGAGAATCTGACTGGTAAAGTTGGGTCAGGAGTAAGGATTAGACAGCACTCAACTTCCTAACCTTGAGAGATTAATCAGCATATACAACTCAGTCCTACAGGAGTTCACTTGCAGATCAAATTGCTCCATGATTATATCTCTTACTGTAGTTCTTTGTAAGGCTGGATCGAGTCTCTAAGACGGCATAGGTTACACTGAGTTTTCAAATACGTCTGATTGGTGAGTAGTGCTGATAAACACGGAAACCCAAGCGCATCCGGTAGATTGTATGATGAGCTATCAGATGTCATACATGAATGTACATAAAATGAAATAGTGATAGGCTTACAAAGTAGATCTGAGTATTTAAGTGGTGCTCCATTTAACAAATTAAATTCTCATCTAAATAGGCTTCATTTATGTTAAACATGGGTTTGAGTTCTAGGCTTGTTCTAGACTAATTGGTTTGAACGAAAATTCCTAATTAAGTTGAGACTCCTACAAATCGTACATTATTCAATATTGAATTTACTATGGAACATGAAAATGATGGAAAGTTCCACTTCTTCGACATTGCCATGCAACGCCTAGAAGATGGTAGTCTTCAGAAAGCCGAAAGCCTAAACAGAAAGGTTAATACCTACATTTTAATAGTTTCTGTCGAAATAGCTTTAAACGTGGACTAGTCAGACTCTATACTATAGCGCTAGGAGATTATGTTCTATCGAGAACTTAGCGAAAGAATTTTGGTTTCTTGAAAAGATATTGAAAAACAACCATTGCCCTCAAAGGTTCATTAACAAGTACGGAAGATCTGAAGTCTCAAATGTCAAGCGAATCATAGTGCTGAAAAAGCCCATCTACATTCAACTTGGTTATATAGGTAAAAATATTACAGTGATTGTCAACAAAAGACTGAGGACGTCACTAGCGACAGCCTATCCTGCAGCTAAGCTCATTCCCGTCCGTTGAACAACTTGCCCTTAGGTGCGATCAAAATTCCAACTCTATATACAAATTTACATGTATCTGTGGGAGCAGTTACAATGGAAGAACAGAAGGTAGATTTTCTGAATATGTACCAAAACGCCTATGCCTAAAGGGAACAAATGCTTTAAACAGTGCCATCGCCAGGCATCTCCTTGACACGGGTCATGAGGTGGACGTTGCAAGATCGTTAAAAAATTATCAATTGGCAAAAGAGTTCAATTTTCTTCAAGTCTGGCAGAGTGATCTCTATCAAGCACCTGAGACTTGATTTATGTGTTCAGAAAGAAGTGGTTATCAGTCTTTCTTTGTGCGCCTGGTAACTGAATATTTTCACCTCTCTTTCATTTGATTATGTAATGTTGAAAGTTTCCATTGTGTATGATCATTATCGTTCGGAATAGTGTTTAATATTATTATATACATTATTACTCTATGCATATACTGGTTGATTGATTTTTGTTTAAAATGAACTCTGTGCAAGTATGTTAAAATTGTTTCTGTATAGATGGACTTAATAATGCCTTTGGCCTGTAAGCAGCTGATGAGAAGCCAACGAAATAATCAATGATGGTACCATTTTATTCTGCAAAAGTTGTTGTTCCTGCTATATTCAAATTATTCACAACGTTTGGCTCTTTGAGGATTTCGATAATCGAAAACCACAGAGCACTGAACAGCTGTTTCCACTTGTTTTAGGACTACTCATCAGTATGTAGCGCGCCTTCATCTCTTAGACAATGCTGAGTAAGTCTTACTGTCCAGCGACAACAACAAAATTTAATTACATATCACTGAGAAGAAAGTAAGGTGATAGCAGATTAGTGTTAGTCAGTCAGTAGTTCAGAGGCTTGGCATGTATCTGACGGAAAAGACGTCCAAGAGGCTGTAGACTTTCATCAAAACCTACTGCGTTCCACTCAGTACTGAAGATAGAGATGACCTTCTGGGAATGATAAGCAACAAAGTACTCTGGCCGTCAGAGAACCAGCCAACAATCTGCTAAAGGACATAAAAATGTATTGGCTATACACTGTGGAGGTATTTAAGTGACAATAAACACTAGTCTGTCCAGTGGAGTCTTAATGACAAGTTACAGGTTGGACGTCCAAGTGTAATATGAAGATGACGGCAAGCTAATTGTAACTGTTGCCTGAAAACCAAACGGAATAGAGATGTACGGCTGATGCCCTATGTCTCACTCGGAATAGACGGAATGAATAACAGTAGTTATAATTACAATATAATGAGCCTAGCAGTCTACATCCCTTTTTCAAATTGTGTTTTATCATAAAGTAATTTCATTAACCAGATATCTACAACAGGGTTAGGATCAACTCGAAACTCTCCTCTTGGACAGCAGTGCGTAGCGGAGTGCTACAAGGCACGGTACTATGAACTCTCCTATTTATTTTGTATATCAATGAGTTATCTCTACTCACCGATTCCCCTATGGTCCTAAACGCAGATGACTTAAACAATTCGGAGAGAGGTGAATGGCAACAGTGATACACTCACGCTGCAAAAGGATCTCAACAAATTGTCAGAGTGGTCCAGAGAATGCATGATCCCGATCAGTGTAGCAAAATGTGCAACCATGCGCATTGGAAACGCAAGCATCAGCTCCTACGAACTAGAGGGAATAACACTCCCATCAGTTCAGACTCATTTGAATTTAGGTGTCATAGTAAGCCACGATTTAAAAACTACAGCACACTGTCGCACGGTGGCTGCACATAGTCCCAGATCTTTATGGGCAATTCGCAAAGCCTTTACTAAAAATCACCAGAGATATGTTCACCTCCTTACATACATCTCTGGTGAGGTCAAGACTGGAGAACTGTATCCAGGCAGCCAGTCCTTGTCTTAAAGGGGACTCACATATTCTAGAAAGGGCATCCCTATCATACCGTAGTCAGAGCGGAGATTTAATCGCAATGTTTAAGATTTTAAATAATGACTACAGACCTGACCTATTCCCTTTTTCCGTACCCACCAGGTCAGAACACCTTAGAGGATATAGCAGCAGAGTTCAAAAGCCAACGAGAAGAAGTCATATTGCTGTGGAGTACTGGTAGTTGGTATTGGAACCGACTTCTAGAAGAATTGGTGTCTGCCACCTCAACTGATTCATTCAAGAAGGGTTTAGACAACATTAACATAGGCTCCAAGCCTTCTTTCTATCCCCAACCAATAAATCTGAAATCTGAAGGTGCAGTAATCTATAAGTAGTGAGGAAGGTTTAAAAAATTATCATCAAAAACATCCTTCTAAAATGTTTTCTATTGCAAATAATAAAAAATATTTGAACAAGTTACACTGACAGAGTAGAATGAATGTTTACAGAAACTCAACAATCAATAAATTTAAACTAAAGTAAGACCATATGTCATCAGTCGACTATCTACCTATCTCAGAAGCATTTACGATGTACAATACCAGGACCGGCTTCATCATATTCGTTTTTTGTTATCCACATTTGATTGAATGTTGACAATGACGCCAAAATAGAACCACCAATCCATACAGAATATTTACGTTCTGGTGGGGCTACAATTTTAATTTTCATTGTTGTCGGTGCAAGATGAGATATCTCTTTTTGTACACGATCTGATATCCCCGGGAACATTGTTGATCCACCTGACAAAACTATATTTGCATACAAATCTTTACGGATATCAACATCACATTTCATGATAGCATTGAATGTAGTCTCATGAATACCTGTACATTCTAAGCCAAGAAAACTTGGTCGAAACATTGCTTCAGGACACCGGAAACGTTCATTACCAATTGTAATCACTTGACCATCAGGTAATTCATAACTTTTTTCCAGTGATGAACTATGCGCAGCAGTAGACATTTCTTGATCAAAATCTAAAGCTACATAGCACAGTTTCTCTTTAATATCACGTACAATTTCACGTTCAGCAGTCGTGGTAAATGAATGCCCACGTTCAGTGAATATTTTCATCAAGTAATCAGTTAAATCACGACCAGCTAAATCAAGACGAAGAATCGCGTGTGGTAGTGCATAACCTTCATAAATCGGTACAGTATGACTTACACCATCTCCGGAATCCAGTACAATACCAGTTGTCCGACCAGATGCATATAACGACAGGACAGCTTGAATTGCAACATACATAGCTGGACTATTGAATGTTTCAAACATAATCTGTGTCATTTTCTCACGATTCGCCTTCGGATTCAATGGTGCTTCAGTCAGTAGGACAGGATGTTCTTCTGGGGCTACACGTAATTCATTATAGAAGGTGTGATGCCATATCTTCTCCATATCATCCCAATTAGTAACAATTCCATGTTCAATAGGATATCTCAGGGTTAAGATGCCTCTTTTCGATTGGGCTTCATCGCCAACATAGGTGTCTTTCTGTCCCATACCAACCATAACACCTTGATGTCTTGGACGACCAACAATCGAGGGGAATACAGCCCTGGGCGCATCATCACCAGCAAAACCTGCTTTACACATTCCTGATCCATTGTCAATTACAAGGGCACTGGATTCGTCTTCATGCTCTGTCATGATTCAGAAAAGATATACGTGTGTAGTTAGGCTGTTAAATTGTAAAACAGTTAAAATAATTGAGTAGTTTCAGTTACTAATAACTCAGTACTTATATATATTTACATACATTGTGTAACTTGTACTGTTTTAAGGGTACATTTTATAAATACACGTGACAAACTTAATTTTTCATGAATCTACTAATATGGCTTTTTTATAGTTTGAAGATTGCTAGCAAAATTATAACTGATACAACTAGGTCAGTTAATGATTGAATAATTGCTTTCTGTAATGCTTGTGTGGCGTATGCGCATGCATACTGATAAGATTTATCAGTAGTATATGTGAAGAGACGTTCATCGGCATAAAAATATCTTTTTTGATGTGGTTGTGTTCTCTGACCTGGATAGTTAATTTGTGAAGCCAAGCAAACTCCAAGCCAACCTATAAAACCAAAATCCCCCAAAGAAAAACACAAAGAAAATCACCCTACCATATATAAAGGACATCTCAGAAATCAATACAAGACTCTTCAAACCTTTAGGAATTGACGTCACACACAAACCAACAAAATCACTTCACTTAGCTGGCTCTATGTCAACCAAAAGACTCAACAGCAAAAGAAGATAAAAACAAAATAATCTACAAAATAAATTGTAACAACTGCGAAAAGCACTAGCCGTCAAAAGACATGATATCCACACACCCTCATATCACTGCATACAGACAACCATGGACATCAATTCGACTGGGACAACGTTCAAATATTAGACAGAGGAAACACCAAGAATGCTAGAGAATTTTTAGAAGGCTACCTGGTATTCCAGTGAATCGTCAATCAATAGACACATCGAGATAGACAAAATTTACCAAGCGATCAAAAGAAAATCTCACACACAAATGGTCAACGTTTAAGTCAAGGAAACAATCAGTTCCAATACCAATAGCCCAGAGAGTGTGAAAACACAAAAACAACAAATCATGTCCAAGGTCACCAGGAGAGACGACTAATAAACTCGTGGAGAAATCTGAATGCCCAATTCATCAAATTAAAGTATGCGCTGAAGATGTTGCCAAGTGCTGGACCAATGAAAGCTTCGCAAATTAACTATCCATCTCAGAGAACACAAACACATCAAAATCATACACCTGAGCTACAAATCTTCTCCATCATGTAAAAATATCAAATAGCAGGGAATTCGATTTGGTGTGAAGGAAAGCATATGATTCAGCTTTGCGGGAAAACACGGGAGCTATGAATAGAAGATAAAGAAAAACAATACGAAGGAAGGGAAGAAGTAGTGCAACACAGAAAATCGATGCAAACGGTGCGTCGAAGATATGTTGCGCACAATTTCAGTATATTGAGATACCTAATTCCAAATAAACATTGCGTTACCAAGTCCCTTGTCTTCTATCGTTACACTTGTCTTGCAGTGGTGTATTGTCAAGGTCATCTATGATATTATGGCGAATTTTGTTATTCCATTTAAAAGAAACAGATTCAGTTTCATCCTACATGGTATGCATTAGAAAATATTTAGATTTCCGATCATAGTTTATTCGATTAAACGTAATATCCTTAATTCTGTCAAACGAAGTGTTGAACGTGACCATTCAGTTTCCAAAAGTAACTTTACAAATCAAACCAAAGAGTATATACCTTATTTTTTGTGTTAACTAACCTGTACTTGAAGAGTACTCCCGCCTTAGAGATAAAAAATTAAAGTAGAATCCTGTAACCGATCAAATCCCCGTAAACCAACACTTTATTATCAATCTGATGCTCAATGGAGACTGTCCCTATTCAGATAAGCATTTACCTGATTAGGTTTTAGTGGAAATTCGCGACCACTGTAGTATAGCAGGTTAAATTTGAGGACAAATGCTCGTCAGCGATGACATTGGCTAGTGCCTCTCACGCTATATAGTGAGTGAAGTGGCGAAATCTGGAACTTATGGACTGCCAATTGAATTGGAGCGTCTCAGTGAGTGACTGAATGATCTACGACTTTGGGGGTGGTTCGAACCCTGGGAGTGAGGTGGGTTGGTACTTCTGGAGAGTTAGTTCAAAACTAGGCTAACGAAACAGCTGACTGTCCAGTAATCTAGTTGTGGTTTTCCAATGGTTCCCTGCTCTGATGTCAGCTCATGATAAAATCCTGTGACCAATCAAATCCCTGCAAACCAATATCAGGAAGATTTAAGTGAAATGAAAAAAATATAATTCCCAAGACATGACAAAATAATTGTGTTTATTGATTTTGAATAGAATAAGAACAACAGATTTTGCAGAATAATATGCAGATAGGACTTCAGGTAACCATAGGGAAAACAGAGGTGATGAAGATTCCTGGCCAGCAGTAACAGTAGCAACAACAGACAACAGTCAGCATAAATGGGAGAAATCTGAAAGAAGCAACCTTCTTTACTTACCCAACTACCTGCGAAGCATCGTTTCAACTATAGGCCGACGGAACTGATGAGGATGTCAAGGCGAGGATCTAGAAAGCAAGGCAAGTCTGTGTGGAGATCAGCAGCACTCAGCATGAAAAATAAGATCCGGATTTTAAACTCCAATGCGAAGCCAGTACTACTGTATGGATCAAAGACTTGGCGCGTCACGAAAGGCAATTCGAACAAACGAATGACTCTCATCAACATATGTCTTCGCTCAACACTACTCAAGATCAGATGGCCACCCAGAAGAGATCAGCAACACGGGGATCTCTGGCAATGAACGAGCCAACCCAGCAGGAACCAGTTGTGCAACAAATATGCAGGAAGAAATGGATGAGGATTGTAGGCCATACTCTGGGAAAACAAACTATCAAGTGACAACACATGTGTGCGTCGGTGGCACAGTGGTTAGGACTCTCGCCGACCATGCACATGGTCCGGGGTTCGATCCCCTGCCGGCACACACCCGATATCTATGGTCGGCCTGTGAATTTGCGCTACCGATATCCACGCTGAAAATTTCATACTTGTATTGAAAATACGGTGTGGAATCAAGCTGTAATCAAAATAAAGAAAATAAATAAAAATAATAAAATGCCAGACCATCCCTCGAGTGGAACCCGGCTGAACGGGAAGCGGCGAGTTGGTCGTCAGTGCCAGGGTGACATGGAGGAAGAGGTCATGTGAAGAGGAGATGAAAGCATGTGGGCAGAGGTGGAGCTAGATGAAAAGTTGACGGAGAACCGGGCTGAAACCCTATGTTCCTCTTGGAACTAAAGGAAACAATAATAATTTATTTCGTTATCTCGTCAGCTGCTCATAGTTTAAATAAACTATTAAGTTTATGCACAGAAAAGTTTCAACTTACTTGCAAATGATGTCAGCTGACAGGAGGTTCCGGACTAAGTGAATAGTGCTCAGAAAATTACTATTGTACAGTTTTTACACAGGAAGTTTCAGTTTAAGCAAAATAAATGTGTGCACACAATGGTAAAGGAGTTACTTAATAAAGACGGGAGATGCGTAAAATGGTGAGTTTTCATTGAATCAGATGTACAAGATTGTTAACAGAGACGGAAAAGTAATACGCGTAAGTAAAAGTTAGAGTGAATGTACACAACCAACAAATTGCATAGGAAATAGTCTTACAAAAAGAAGTACCTCGAAAACTTTCATAAAAATCAAAGTTTAACCAGAATGGCTCAAGTCAACTCTCAAGCTCCTGCAGTGATTTGTTGTGAGAGCTGTCTGCAAGCCAAAATTGTAGACAACAATTTCCGTCCCAAGTAGGGATCATGAGAAGAAACAAGAACAAAGCTTAACCTTGATGAACTCACCAACCATTCACAACAGACTTAACGTGGGCAGATACGATTCGCAGATATATCACCGGACTGTCTAAGGACCAGCAACAAAAAGATGACAGAGTAACCTTCAGCAGGAAAACAGCCAATCAGAAGACGTTGCTTCCCTGCTAACAATAACGCTAATAATGATGTACATAAAAATCTATAAATATCTGTTGATTTTCTCAATAAACGAACGGTCTGTTACCTTATCCTTGTCTTCTGTTATTACCGTGAACGCAACAAAAGCTGAAATTAAAGCCGAATTTGTAAAATATCAGTCACTTTTCAAAGTCGTAGTTATTATGAATAGTAAAACTTTATTCTCCTTGAATAAACCCCTTGAGTTATATAAAAGAATTGTTGTTCATAGAAGAGGTACTCTTTCCGGCTATATCATTTTCATGCTGTACAATCCAATACATATAGTAAATGATCTTAGCAACAAAACGAAAGTTTCTAAATATGTGTCATTGGAATCGTAAATTTTATATGACAATTAAACAATACAGAAAGCGTCTATACACAGAACGAAACTGGATCCGTCCACTGAGCCACAAAATCCTTAACATCTGTAGCCTTGACACAATGAAAGAAGAGCTGAACACTCTGCAAAGGATTCTCATTGAAAATGACCACTCCGAACGATTTATCACAGAATCCCTGAAGCCTACACCATTAAAACTGCCTACACATCCTATCTCTAAAACAGTTCTCTGTTCGAATCTAAAATTTAGTGGAGATTTATCGGCAGAAATACTGAGGAACTGCATGCCCCGCTCGCTGAAGAAAACCTTCTTCGCTGCTGAACTTCAGCTAGCTTTCACCACAAAACAAATAAATCGCAGGAAATTAAAGGATAGGCTACCAATGCTAGCCTCATCTGTGCGCATCTATCAGTTCATCTGCTGTCGAGGAGCTAGGCATGCTGGCCGTACTCAGCAGTTGCTATCTAAGCATTTCATCGAATATTTACGATCATGGTTTTATGAAAAAAAGATCCCTCGTAAATCTATTTTGGACAACAGTGCAAACCCTCAAGTCACCTTCAAAATCATCTACAGAATACGCGGTAGTCTTGCTTAAAGGAGTTCACGTCAAACTTCTTCAGTCAATGTACGTGATCTGTTTTAAAACCATATATACAATTATTTTTTTTGGTTTTTCTTGATTGTATTATTTTTCTCTCCCCGTCTATTACATTTCTGCTCA